TTATAAATCCGCTTGAATATAAAAAACAACAGATATAGAAAATATTTTTTAAAAACCTACGTATTAAAATTTAAAATGTCATGAGACCGTTTATAATCCGTTTACATTGGCCTCCTGTATTTATTACTTAGCATGGCGTATCGAGGGTATCAGTGATACAGGAGCGGTATAATTTAATTTGGACTTCCTCGCACTAATGAGCCACTCTATATAATATAATAACTTTGCATGTCCACTGTTTATAAATTATTGCTCTAGGGACATACAGTTTTAGTATCAATTTTGTATACATTTTTTTGGCAAAAGAATAACTGAAAAAGTTTTAATTTTTCGGTAAAAATTATGACTTCCTGGACTTAGACAGTTCAAAAGATTCATATAGAGGGGTCATCCACGAGCAGAAAAAAATAACTGCTAAACCTTAGCAGAAGCGAACTCAAGACCGTAATAGGACTCCTTACGGGACACTGCAGCATTAGAAGACACCTAAATCTTTTAGGGATATCTGATGACTCCCTATGTAGAATATGTGAAGAGTAGGACGAAACTCCTATTCACATACTATGCCATTGTCGGAATCTTAAATGGTAACGGGAATGTTACTTTGGGGTACAATATCCGGAACCTGAAGAAATCGCGAAAGCGCCCATCAGACATATTCTTCAATTCATCAAGAAAATCAATCTGATGGGATAGAAACTGAGGGGGGTACAATAAGCCTAGAGCTTAAGTACGAGTGGGCTTTGAACCACGCCCTAATGCAGATAGATAGATGACTTCATAAAAATTAACAGTTTGATAAGCAAAAATTGCTGGAGTTATAAATTATCGATTTTAACAATCGAAAACAAATAAAAATTTTCTACAGCATGAAAGTTTTTCAAGAACAATTTCTAAAAATATCGAATTAAAATTTAAGAAAGAAACTTTTGGAAAAAAATACTTCATAAAAATGCTTATTAAGAAAGCCAAAGCGTCTAGAATTAGCAATTTGTAAATAATCTGGAAAATGCGTGTTGCATTTTATTCATAAGCAATAAACATTTTTAAGCGGAATGCAACGTTCAACGTTTTTAATTAATTTTTAAATAGTTACAGGCAATTAGTACCAATTATGTCATCGACATAATTACTTCTTCATGGCTGGTTGTAATCGTAATGTTTTGGGTACCGTTTTCAATAAATACTCGTTAAAATTATTATGATAATATTATTATGCTGTTTTTAATCTTATCTGGTTGTCTAATATTTATTATTGTTACATAATCAACTTCACCATAGGATAGGTACCGATACTTTTCTTTGTCGGTATGTTTTTTCTAATATTGTTAGACAAAATTTCAAATTATTTAGAAGTTTTTTTTTAACATGAGTCATACATTTTAAATATTGGATCGTTTGAGTTTCCTATCTCTTTTATTTGGAACAATAATTTTGATGATAAAGTTTACGTGTATTAGAATCAAAAGATCTGTTTTGCACTTTGATTACAAGTGAGTTCGAATACCTTTTTATTGGCAATAACTAGAGAACGGATTTTGGACTGAATTTGATCGATTCGGCAATTCCTTTGTTTATTCATAGATCCAATTGAAATTAGAAGGAAAAAAAATAATTCTTTATACGTGAATTTGATTCATAAAAGTATATTCAGAAAGCTTCCCCTTTCCTCGTCTGGTTTTGTAATGCGGATATAACATTGTACCTATTGTTTAGACCAGGTATGGGAACCTTTGCTTAGCTGAGGGCGTATTTTCGTGACTTAATTAGGTCGCAGGCCTTAGGCAAGAAATAAGTAGGTAGAAGTGAATAAAAAAGCGACAAATTACAATAGCATAATGATTATGCTCAATCAAACGTATAAAAAGCAAGTTAATAAAAAAGAAAAATCAAATAAAAATTAACGTGAGACTTGAGTTTGAAGCTGAGAAACAAGATTATCAATATTGGAGTCAATATCACTAGTACAGTGGTTTTCAAACTTTTTTGGTGACGGAACCTAAAAAAAAGGTCCTCGAGCCAGGTCCCTCCTTTTGTGGTTACATACTAACTGCAGTCTAAATAAAAGATGCACTTTAGGTATCAAAAAAAAAAAAAAAAAATGTCGAACTGCAGTCTAAACATTTCAGTAGCAGGCAGTCCAGGTAGATGAAATAAGCTTACTCTATATAATCAGTAGCGTACGCTGTTCAGTTTTTAATGTCGTTATAATAATGCAAATTCAATGTTTAATACTACAAACTTAAAAAAGTCAGTGTAATACAAAATTAATGTGGATACAGATTTATTAAAACACGTTATATATAATATAATACCATTTATTTTAAAAGTTACAATAATCACTAATATTTTTAAATAAAAGACGCATTTTAAAAAAATCAAAACACTTTATATTACTAATACAACAATTTATCTAAAAATGTACAATAAAAATTATTATTATTATTATTATTCTATATTATGTTATATTATATTACAATTTATCTTGAAATTTACAAACATTTTGATTCCTAATGGTTAATATAACTAAAAGAAACACATTTTAGAAAATCTAATCTACAAATCTCTTTTTAAAAATACTGGTCAATTTTTTGTTGAATAAACTTTTGTTTTGTCGCTGTTTTTTTTTTCGGATAATGTGTTCATTTTAGCATATGTATCTGTTTGCATCCCAATCAAACATTCTAGAAATTTGTGAATATTTGGATGAGGTGTTACACACTACTTTTTAAATATAGAGTGAATTGGTTCACAATTATTGGTAGTTCGGGAAGTTGAAGATGTTAAAGCAGCCCAAATTTGAGGTGGAAATATTGCATCCACAGATATGTATGTATTGACCAAATAATCGGCCAAATTTATGCTTGCGGGCATTATGGATATTAAGTCCTCCACAAAAGCATCCCCAACTTCCTCAGGAGACAAATAAACAAAACCAACAATATAGTGAATCCATTTTCCAATTTCGGAATCATTGTTACTGTAGTCATTTGATAACCCTAGAGATTTAATTTTTCTCCACCAACTCTGTGTTAAATGAAATCGACAACCTATTATATTGCTACTAGGGAAAACTTCTTTAACATTGTTATGAATAGCTGGTTCGAAATCTATAACAATATATTTTGGTTTTAAGTGAAAACCTAATTCTAAACATTTACTTTTTACTGACCTAAATAAATTTGTATAAGATATTTAATAAACTGAATGCAACAGGTACATAGTTTCAGCTCACAGTGTATGGTAAACAGTTGTAAAATATGTTTGGCACAGTTTTCAAATGTTCCATCCATATAAATATATTCTTGATGTTCACATAAAAATGACAAGTTTTGAAAGCCCGGAAAAATTACAATTTCTTGACCAATAAAAAATTCTCACCAATAGTCGTTTTCACTTCTATTTGGTTTAAAGATTCTTGTAAGGCTCGCCTTGTTTTAGAGACCTTTGGCACCATTTTTCGTCGAGCGTTGTTTGCATTTTTTCCAATAAGAGCAAGATCATTTGCACTTAATGTTTTTAAAATGTCACTATCATGATTATGTATTCCATTAAGTCTTGAAAATGCTCCTAGTAAATATAATTTCGCATTGCAACCTCTTTTTGTGCAGCTCCAACATTCCTCCTTAGTTTTTTTTGAGCACTATATAAATAGAACCTACATTGTTCGACTATTAATAATTTTTGGCCCCTTTCACTGATACTTTCCGTAATCTCCATCTCTTGTCAACTTTATCAAAATAACTGAACTTTATTAAACTTCACAGGCAAAAGAATAGCAAATACTAATAACATTATCTACATTTTCGAGCTATATGCAAATTCAAAAAATATAAAACTCATTATATTATCCAAAAATTCTTAATAAAAGAAAGTCTACAAAGTAGTTTAAGGGGTAATTTGGTTGGCTTAAAAATTATATACCCACTTAAGAAAATATTAATAATCTTAATTCCTGTGTTAATTTAGCCATTTGACCTGATTACCAGTAATCTTAAAAATCTTCTCAGAAATATTATCCACAGATTTCAAAAATGATTTTTGAGGGACGCATATGCATACTTAAAATTGTACCTTTATTTGGACTGCAATTAGTCTGCTTTTGCACCTAGTCGGTAACCTAAAGCTTTAGACTGCAATTCGGCATTTGTAAAAATTTAGACTGCAGTTTACCGGCACCGCCCTTTTGTGACCATAGTACTGCTTTTTTTATTATTATCATTATTTTCTTCGCGGAGCCCCCACAAAAGATTTGCGGAGCACACTTTGAGTATCACTGCACTAGTACATATGCGCAGTGTTGTCTAAATTAACATCTATAAGTTAAGTACGTTGCTTATTTTTATTAATTTTCATGATTGACGTGCTTCCAAATATACAAATTATTTTTCTGCGAAAACTCTCAGCTATGGATACTTTTCTTTTGCAAGGTATTGTGACGCGGAGCTGTCTCTGTACTTTGCCCACGCGGTATGAAGTCTAGCGCTGGCCATATCGAGACAAAAACTATCGGATTGATCCCTTTGATCGTACTGGAAAGAGAGTTCTAGTACAGAGCTGGCTTTATATAAATAGCGCGAGTTCGTCGACGGACAAGAAGTTTCAAATGAAGTGTTGGACAGACGAAATAAATTGTAAATAAAGTGTTTTAAATAAATAAATTATAAATAAATTAAACAAACGTAAAATTCGCTTAGTTCCACTTCATCAAATTTATACTTCAAATATGAGTCTTCTTGAAGCTCGATCAACTCTATTTGTAGGTGAAGCGGAGCAACTTCCACATTACTCTTTGGATTTGCAAAAATATTGAGTGCTATCCATATTCTTAAAATCGATCAGTAAATTGCTTGGATAGTAGTTTCAGTTCTTCAGCATAACGACCGTATTCAATGTGACTGAATAATATTGAAAAATGAAAAGTTTTAATTTCTCATTTGTGTTTCCCACAAGCGAATTTAGTTTTGAAAAGCTTTAAGATGACTGTACAGCTGATTTACCAATTGTGCTTGTTTTTTGAAGCTTCAATTTCAGGTCATTTAAGTGTCCTGTGATGTCTACCAGGAATGCCAAGTCACAACGCCAAGTTGGATCACAAATTTGCGGCAATGTTTTCTCTGTCATTTCCATAAAATCATCTATTTCTTTTCTAAGGTCATAAATTTTTTTTAGCATTGTACCTTTTCTGAGCCACCTTACATCGCAATAATATGTCACATCATCGTGTTCTGAAGAAAGTTCATCCAAAAATGCTTTAAACTGGCGATGGTTAAGACCGCGGGATCTAATGATATTAATGGCATTTACTACCACATCCATAACATTCTTCAATTGAATGGACTTATAGCACAAGTTTTGTTGATGAATAATGCAATGTATAATTAATAAATCACATAATAATACTCTCCCTAATTCACCCCCTTACGAGTGAATTTTAACCCAAGAGCTGAGCTTGTGCGGGGAAAGGGACGCCTATTATTATTATTTGCCGTGGCGCTCCGGGGCGACTTAAAGATGATTGATGGTGCCATTTGACTTACAGGTGAGGAAAACCCGGAAAACCTCACCCACCGTCATCGAGACGGTAATGCATGGCGATTATTTTTAATCTGCATGTCATATCAACAGAGATTGAATTTCTATTAATACAGCACACATCAAATTCTATACCGAACCATGCAATTTAATTAAAAATCCACATGGTCTGGTGTGGGATTAGAAGCCCGGCAGTCTGATCATAAACTTGCCTATAAATGAATATAAGAGCGTTAGACTGCTACACCACCGACCTGATTAACATTATTAACATTAACATTCTTGCACATTCAGAATTCCGATAAAACCTTTTCGAGAACCTACCATTGAAGGCGCACCATCCGTGTACACTCCAACTAATTTACACCACTGCAAACCATATTGCTCAAAAGTACTTCGCACCTCGGCAAAAATATCTTTTCCAGTAGTGATCCCTTATAGCGACTTAAAGCTAGTAATTCCTTTGTCGCTGCAACTTCTTTATCTACACCTCGTTTAAAAATAGCTAACTGGGCTGTGTCAGATAAAGCTGTACTCTCATCCAAAGCAATCAAAAATGCTGGAAAACCAGCTTATGCACCAGTCAATGTTTTGATATCACTAGTCATCATGTCTATACGTCGAATAACAGTATGTCGCGATAAGCTCATTTTCTCAAATTCTTTCTTCTTTTCTGGACATAAAAGTTCTGCAACGTCTACTAGGTACTATTTAACAAACCGTCCCTCAGAAACTTACTTCGATGTTTTTGCTATTTTGGAACTAATTTTAAAACTAGCTTAAACAATACTGTCTAGATTTGTTCTTTGTGAATGGAACATTTGTTGCTGTTTTCCTAAATCGGTAATGAGTTTTTTAATTTTATCCTTTCTTAACTAGCCCATGACTGAATTATATTGAGCAAAATGCTTGCTGGAGTAATGCTGCTTCATATTGTATTCTTTTAAAACAGAAATTGTTTCATTGCTCAACAAACACATAGGTTTACCATTGCAAAATAAAATCTGATGTGTCCAACACATGACTTTCCTATCTAGTTATTATAGGCTTTTTCCGGTTATTTTGTACAACCTATTGCAGCACATCTATAAATATTTAAAGGAGAAACTAAATATATACATTTTCCACATACATCTACCTCGAAACATTTTTTTATAGATAAAAAAATTTAAATTTAGCACTTTTCCTCCAATTTTTCCATTACGGTCCATTTTAGAAAAATCATGTATAAACAAAAATTATACAGATCGATATCGCAAACAACTTTTAGTTTAACAATTTTCTTAAAAATCAGAATTTTGCACATTTTGTCAAATTTCTCGAATACGGACCATTTCAGGAAAATTTGACATAAAGCAAAAAATATAGATAATATTAGAAGTAACTTTTATTTGAACAATTTTCTTCTCCAAACGTAAATAACAGATATACTCCATAAAATATAAAAACGGCCTCCCATAAAGTACCCCCCCCCCCAGATGTTCCGACTTTGTCCAAAATCTAATTATTTCACGTCGGGTCGAAACAAATCTCAAGTTTAAAATTTAATGTTTTTCTTTATCCGTTTTTGAGTTTTCTTCAAAATTCGAAATTTACACATTTTCTCAAATATCTCGAATACGGTCCATTTTAGAGAAGTTATGTATAGGGTAAAAATTATAGAGAATTATATTACAAACAACTTTTATTTAAACAATTTTTATAAAAAAATATTGTTTTTACATTTTGTCAAATTTCTCAAATACGGACCATTTTAGGAAAATTTTGTATAGAACAACAAATTATATACTCTAAGTGTTAACCTTATTTTTTGTTGTTTTTGTTTGTTATATTGAAGAATGTTTATATTTTTGTTACAGTTCACTAAAATGAGTAAAAAATATTAAAATTTGAGAAATTGTTTGAACTTGTAAAACAAAATTACTTTGCTATTTTTCCGAGTATTTTTCATACCAAAAAATAAATCTAAGTATTAATTTTAGGGGGTGGGTTTTCTCAGTGGTTAGAGTCATGACTTTGAGATCGAAAGGTCTCAGGATCGAATCCCACCGGTGGCAGGAATTTTTATTTAATAAAATTAATATTCTAATGCATAGGTAAAATTCCCCACTCGACCATTTACTGTTGGGTTCTAATTAACAGTGCTGTTCCTGAAGTGGCGCTGGGAAACAGTAACAAAGCCTACACAGAACACAAATGATTAAGAATTCAAACACAAACTGAGACTGGCATATTAGGTACATACACCTAGGCCATAAATCGAAAAAAAAAATGTTAATTTTAGTTTCATTTTATTGTCGTATTATGACATAATAAAGAGTAAAATACTGATATTTAGTAATTTTTTAGACATATAAATTTATATCCCAGCGTAAACTATAGTGTATACATACTTACGCCTCTAGATCCCAGTGTACACTGTAGTGCACATATCAAAACTCAAAAATAAAAAAAAATAGGAACATGGGACAAAAACTAAAAATTACAAAATAAATTAAGTAACTATTATGCCAAATTTCAAATTTTGTACTCTTAAACAAAAAAGTCGGTGTTGAAAGGGTCAGTTATGTCTATAGACGAAACACTAAAAGGAAATCAAATTGAATAAAATAAAACACCTATATATAATTGAATTGGTGAGTTCGAAAACCGTACAAGTCCAAAATTTTACATTTTAAAGTAAGATAGCCATTTTGTTTAAAATTTGTCTCTTCATCGATTGAGCATAAAAACCGTACTAGGTATCTAGCCGTTAACGTAGCACAGCTGATTGCACCCGTGAAATGAGAAAAACTAAATAATGGCCAGTTACCATCAGTGTTGCCAGAATATATTTTTATTGTGTATCAGATTTGTCTAAGAAATGTACCAGATTCCATAAAGATGTACCAGATGTCTAAGAAATGTGCCAGATTCTATGAATTGTACCCTATTTGTCGAATTGTGATGGTTTGGTTCATTGAAGAGCAAAAAAAAGCTTTATCGAGAACGAACACAAATAAGGAACCCAACAATATATTTTACCCGTCCAAATGGAAACAGTATTAAAAAAAACGTACTAGATTTTGCTTCGAGTGTACTGGAGTACGAGATTCTTAAATAATGTACTAGATCTAGTACAATGTACTAGACTGGCAACACTGGTTACCATAGTCAGTTGGAAAACCACAAATGCTGAAAATGATGCAGATGCAGATAACAGTTTTGATATTGAATTTTTCCTTCTTTTTGAATAAATATTAAATAAGTCAAAAAATGTTCACCTATTTCTTTTTATACAGGGTTGAGTTCAAAAACCGTACAAGTCAATACTTACTCCTTTTGTATCTGTCATTATATTTTCTAAAAAACTACTTTTCAAACTACATTTAAAACCACGAGAACTGAAACTTTTCTATGCATAAAAATAATCTATGTCAAATCATTTCAACGTTAAAAGGTTTTTATTGTTTTTCTCGAAAGACTGATTTTGGACATGTACGGTTCTTGAACTCACCGATTCAATTTGAAACGAAGATTTATCGAAAATCGGTAAAATAATAAATGAAAAATAATACATAAACTGTTTTGACAAAGTTATGTGTAGGTTCTTGATGGGAATGAAATATTTTACAGATTCAGATAATAGTCTTAAATAAACAATCCTCTTAAACTCTGCATTATTCATCAATACCATGGAAATCAGATCAATACTCGATAGCTTGATGTTACAATCAGCGGCGTAAATAGCCGTTATAAATTCATTCACATAAATAGTAAAGAAATGTAGCAGCTAACACTGACTCCTGGGGTACTCATATATAGTGTTTGTTGCTTGTTGAGAGAATTAGTGTTTTCCAATCAATTTATTTACTGTGCCTCTAATTCCAGATGATGTGATATAATTAACGTTAGCACGTTGCATATAAAGGATAATTGGGAAATGAGGATAAAAACACAAAACAGGGATCGTATTTGGCCCAATTTTGTTCTAATTAAAAAAAATTTGGATTTGTTGCATGCTGTTCACATACAATGAGCTCCAAAAAATGTTGTTAAGATTAGTTAAATACCATAGATTATATATAAAAAACAATAATTTTTTTATAACATGAAGAAATACATGTAAAAAAACAAATAATACGTTAAAAGATACTTAAAAATTTCTATATGTATCACTAAAAAAAGGTACTCAGGAAGACTCAATACAGAGACTGAAAGCTTTATAATTTGGTTTAAAACTGTAGCTTTATTTAAATGAAAAGAAATGAAAATTCAGAAATAAGAGCTAAGAACCATAAATGAATCGGTCATTTGAGAAACACCAGTCAGAAAAGTAAAAGTTTGGGATATTAAAAAAAACTTTCTTAAATCGTCTGTATGTAAGACAAAACATTGTTTTTTTTCTAAAATTGCGAGATTGGTTTACTATTTGATGGTATCAAAACAACTTGTGTCCAAAATATTTTTTCGAAAATCATGACTTATGTGGTTTCTCAAATACACGGATATTATTTTAACTTATTTATTCAATAAAACTACATATTTTAATGAAATAATATTGAACAATATTTTTATTTAATCTAAAATTTCATCTTTATAAGATTCAAGTACGTCTTCTCATTTCGGAAGATATTGCTTTAGTTTGACAAGATCATTCATCTTCTCTTTGTTAATAGGTATTTTTCCAACATAAGCCTCTTTGACAGGAAGAGTCAAAGGTTGTGTAGATGTATTTCGAAATTAATGTATCACAGTCAGTCCATCTATAGAAGATTTTGTTACAAGAACTACTTTGTTAAAAA